CGCAACAGTTCAGTGCTTATAGATACACAAACTCAATTTGTAGTCACACGAAGTTGTAACGAGATTATATCGTTCTTATACATGGAATAGAATTTATTAGATTCAGCTGCATGCAGAGTTTAGTTGCAGCAGGACCCGTTAACTATTTAATGAGGAACTCGATTATAAGAGAATCTTGTCCTATCACTCCCATAGTTGATCTTTGATAATGCTTGAGCGGATGCCCGGCGGATATTTATTAATATTTTGCGCGATCGCGTGCAACACATTGAACTGCGCGAAGATTCATCTTACGTACACATAGAAACTGTCCGCACCTTCGGGAATATTAACGGTACTGTAGGCAACAAGTCGTGGCTCCATAACTCACGGCTATAAAAGAATTACACGTACGTATAATCACGTACATGTCTAACAATAAACTACAATAATAATTCACAAACGCGCGTAATTTATTATATGCTGAATTGTTCGTGTATAATACACGAATATCATATATTTATTATTTAATCATGACACACTACTGTGTCTTTTCTTTGAGATTTAATGAACGATGCAATGATTTAATTCAACGCGATCTCGACGTTTTATGATACTCGTGTTAATAGCTACTTAACATCTTGTAATCACTTTCAAGATTTCCTCACACCTTACGACACGATCACTTCATGTTACGAGAATTACACTTGATTCAGGCATATTTTATCGCAGTGTATGTTTATTGGGAATTCGCTTTTTTTTATTTCGTATATTTATATATGGTCGGTGTTTGAATAGGAAATCGTGATAGGTCGATACATGAAGGAATATGTGTTTTCGTGGCAAACAGAACTTGTTTACTTGGTTCAATATACATAGAAATAGATTAATTGCCATATATTATACATTCAGTGTATAAACTCTACAACATCTCTGATATCTTATTAAACAGAATACCTTTTGCATCTTGATACGCTATCAGGCTAAGTAATAGAAAATTTTGTTTTTAAATATAAAATGATAATATAAAGAATTTTAATATAAAAATAATTTATTCCATTTTTGCGTCGACTAAAAAAAGCTTTAATACTGCAATTCTAAAAATTTTCTAATTTATTCATCGATTCACATGACAATTATTGCAGAATGGATTTAATTACTTTACATAAATACTTTTATGTCGATTAATTTATGTTATTGTTATCGTTATTATTACATGTAGTACGCTAGTCCCGAATGTCAGTGTTTTAATTTTTAAACGGCTCTTCAAGTGTTCAGTTCTTCGTTAGTTTCGATAAACTTGCTTTTGACCTTCGATTTCGACGATTTTCTTCCTTACAGACTCCTCTGTCTACTCATTAGCGGACGCATACCGCGCGAAGGTTCTTGAACTATGGTTAATTGTTGTGGGAACTATAGTTCTCCGCGATATTTCCGGGTAAAAAGACGCACAGGACGCGCAACTTTACGCGACACCGTTTATTCTCACTTCATTATCGGGGAGAGGATATTAATTCTATGCTCGGACACGTCGACTGATCGTCATGGGCGCGAACCATTATGGTTGTTTTATTACGCGGCGCGTGGGATCCTTCTCCGTGCGATCAATATCTCCGGCATAATGATCGGCGCTTTTATCTCGGTAAAATATCGCTCGCCGGCGAGGTGCAGTCTACAATCTCAGAATATAACTGTTGTGAATGGAGCGACGGAAATTATCTGGCGCGATAAAGAACTTCAGATTCAAACAGTAATTAGTACCGTTCATACACAATGTCGTTCGACACAATCGTGACTTGGTGATTAGCGTGATTAATTACGCCGATAAGGCAAACATTATTGAAATTCTAAATGGATATTGAATTAAGGGTATTGCTATTTCAACGAGATGTTGCATCTCAATCTCGAGTTGCATCTATTGCCAGATACTGGATGCAAGCCAGCTTCCGACAAACGTGATTTGTCAGACAACGCTCATACGCACGATCGCGTGTTAAATAGAGAGAGAGAGAGAGCTCCACTGTGACAAGAAAATACTTTGCACCGCTTGTACGGCGGATTTAATAAATAAGAAAAAATAGCATATAAATAGACTATATATAATGTCATTTAATGATCTTAAAGCGGAAGAAATCAATTAATTAAAATAAAAAGATGTATGTGTGAATAAAAACTTTTTTTTTGTATAGCATGAAATATTAGAAACAGAATAATAAAAGCGTGCGAGATATCAAGAGACATGAATATAAATATCAAAGGCTATTGAAAATCGATAACCGAGTCGTTAAAAAAACTGAGGATAAAAGTTATACCGTATCGACGGCAAGGTGAATATTACCTCGAGATATATATTTCGCCGTCATTCGTGATTTTGACGATTGCAGTTCTGAAATGATTGCCGAAGTGCATTCCTCGCATGTTCCCGTATACCTGCGCAATCGCGAGGCGTACCGCGATTATAAATACTCGATCCGCGGCTCTAATCTGGGAGGATCATGAGAGAAACCGCCCGTCTGTCCCCTTTTATTTCCTTGAAAGGGAATAAGACGCGCAAAGAGGTACCTACACGATACCTATGATACGAACACGCCGAATATGCGTGCGGCATGTATGTGGTGGTCGGCTGGTTGGCGCCACACGGGCCAATTTATATCGGAGTAACGCGTAATAAACGTAATATTATACACGGCGATACGGCTCGCGCCTGATTACGCCTGGCTCTAACATGCGCTATACAACGAAATGAATTATATCCTTCTCGTGTAATCGCACAATGAGCTGATCACGCCGTCACGAAAATCGACGATCATGATTCGACGCGATTGCGTGAATGGAATACAGTAATTATTTAATCCATGTTTCGGAGAGTATACACTCTTCTTCATCGATCGAACAGGCTCCGGAGTATTTACGCACGATGCACTTATTGCCTTATTGAACGAAATATGCGAAGGTCGATATGTCAGTGTGTCGTGCCGAGCATCTGAGAACTCATCTCGTCGGGTTGCTAGAAGATTGTCTCGTAAATAATTCAGTCGTGACGAGAAATAATATTTTTTACTAAAGTTTAAAAATGAAAAATCGGCGTGAAAAATAATATTATGTCGTAAAAATATTTTTTCGTTAAAACAATGAGAAATATAAATATATTTTTTGATTTAACAATTGAAAAAGAATGTATATCTCTTTGAGATCGATGAAATTAAAATTGTCTCTGAAGAGACATTTTAGATAAAACATGTTCGTGTGCGTGCTTTATTCCTCGGCAGTTAAACAATCCTCTTTTATTGCACCTCGTGCGACACGAAATGCTCGACACGTTATTTTGGATGCTACGCCGGCTAGAACCGTTGCCAGGAAAATAGTCACCTACGACTCACGTGAGAGAATCGATCGTTAACTCGTTGTAAGCAGAGAAGTACATATGTACTTAGGAGTAGGGCTAACTCGTAGAGGCAGTCTCGAGAACGTGCGCTCTCATATTTTCCTACGTCCCGTTTATTGAAATTGCTTTCCCAGAAGCGGACTAAACTTAGGCGCAAATCGACAGCGTCATCAACGGCACAATTCAATTTCAGCTTATCACAGGCTAGCGGAATAATTGCATAGATTGTAAGACGGCGCAATTTCTGCGATTCAAAACGCGTGACTCTAATTATTACATGCATGATGATTTTAATCCATGGACGAAAGATTTTATGTACATAATGTCTGTGATAATCATTGATGATCATTCATCAACGTCAGAGGTTGTTATCTCACGCAAAAGGAAAATTTACAATGATGCATCGTGCACATGTGCTCTTTAATGTTTTTCATCATTTTACACACTGACTGATGGGATTTAAATGTTTTCTAATAATACCAATTGCGCTGGAAAACAATCCTCGCGATATTCATTAGCCATAAGCGCGCGTTTATAAGATGTTGTATCATTACTCACACGATGAACATATGTGTTGCAAATTGTAATTGCTGATGACGTCATTATTTATGCATCTCGTGTAAAGATACGGCAGAGATCTCGGAGTTAATCTTAAATTAAACGACGAGGATTTTATTTTGGAAGAACACCGTCCCAGGCCGTCTGAAATATTTTCTTTCCACATTACGTTCCTTTAGACATATTTACACACACGCACACAAATACGATTAGATAATTGCATCTAATATTTTCAAAGCTTTTTTTCATCGATCTTGTTGATATTAATTATCGCTATATGTTCTATATTTACTATGTGGATTCGAAGTACTATTTCGTACAGGAGTCTCGGTTTAATCCTTTATAGATCGACATGTTTGACCACACACATTCAGAAGTTCTATTTATTCAATCTGGTCGGGTGCCGCGTTTTACCTCCACCAATCATTTGATCCGTACAGCTTGTCTGATCTTATGGTTTGTCTGATTTATATTATAACTTCGTTCATTAAATTTTGAACAAAATTAATAAATATATTTTTTAAATTTTATTAAGATATTTCGTGCGCGCGCAAAATCTTTTTTATTCAACAAAAAAAAAAACTTTCTGCAAATGCAAGAATAATGCAATAAAAACATTTACATAATACTGTTTCTCTCATTCATAAAAATCAATATATTATTGAAAAGAAATATTAATAATTCTGTTACATATTTTTAATGTCACTCTCTCGCTGCTTAAATAACTGAATTAGCTGCCAAAAGATATATCTATTTAAATAAGAGGATTGCGTTCTAATCATATTTTTCTCTTATATGTTCGCACGTATTTTTAAAATAATATTTTCGTTTCTCCAATAGTTCTGTTTTCTATCAGATATTTTCGCAAACAATCGCTTACAGAGAGAGATATGAATTTCAAGCTTATATCTCTCAATTCTATAATCGGATTATACGGATTTCATTTCGCACAAATTGAAGTCAAAGCGAATAGTTTGTCTCTATCATCCACGATGCATTCATCCGGAAGTTACAACCGAAAGGACTGTATTGCAAACATATTTGCGATGGAAATCTGACAATGCAGTGCACAGTTTACCTTTCTCCCCGGTTGACCTCTTCTTGATCCTTTCGCCCGTACAGACTTTCCGCTTTACCTCTTCCGCCTTTCCCCACAGTCTCTTCTCCGCTTTCGAGATCTCTCTCACAGTTCAACGGGCGTTATAATTCTGAATCAAATAAGCCGCGGGATCGATCGATACTAGAAAACGAGAGGCACTCGCGTTTTTCCGCGGAGATTCGATCTCGAGGAGTCGGTCGTTTTCTCGCGCACACGATAAGAAGTTACCCCGATCACGAGATGACATTGGTCAAAAAGAGAGAAAAAGAACGCGCGAGAGAGCGCGAAAAAGAGATTCTCTTTCTTTTTCTCTTACGCGTTGCGCTGTCTCGCGAGCTGCCACCGTACGCACACGTACGCACGCACGCACGTCTGTTTGCACGCACGAGCGACCGATCGCGCGCGAGCTTCGAAAAGCAATGCAAGCGCGAGCGACACGCCGGGTTCTCGTTCCTTCCTACGTTCTTACTCACACACGTCGTTCCTGGCTCGTGCTCTCTGCCTGTCCCTCCCTCCCCATTGCTTTCCCTGTCGGTCCACATCGTAGTCTCTCTTTCGCTCTCTT